ATATATATGCCAAAGGAGAAACGTTGATGGCACTTCCGAGGTCGAGATTTATACTTGGTTGCGACTCGAGACAACACCACCTTGCACACTTGAAGCTATACGCGAATCGCTTTAGCTTCTCCCTTTGTTCTTTTGTCTGTCTCTTCAACTCATTCCCTACACAACACTGTGATACTATACAGTTTACTGGGGTACTATACAGAGCTGGTGCTGGTGTTGGTGTACCTACTGTACATAGTAATAGTACTTACATACTGACACTGCTGCCTAAGACTCGACAACCTCGAGAGAGTCTTTATGACGACCTAATGTCTCTCGTTTTGTCCTCATTGTTTCATCTATTATTATTATTATTATTCTCATTATTATTATTTTTGTTATTAATTTTATTATTGTTAAGACATTGTTTCTATCGAGTCCTTGTTCAAGCGCCAAATCATTTTACTTTTGGCGCTAGAATGAGGACGACTTTTATTTATTACGGGGTTATTATTTATTTTAAATGGGATTGTTAGGTGTGAGGTTTAATTAATTTTTAGTTATTAGGAAAGAGAAGTCAATTTTTAGAAAATTTCAGTGGTCAATAATTTTGCAGTCATCTGAGTAATTGGAAATCGGTTTTTATACGATCGTTATTTTCATGCTAAGAATTTTTTTTTTTTTAGTAATGAAGTTTTGTTAAATGTTATATGTTTATGAATTATAGAATTTTTTTGGTAAAAATGAAATTTTATAATATTTTTCATTTCTTCTTTTGTGTCATATAAATATTTGGTAATTATTTACAAGTGGGCTCAACCCATATTAATTTTATTTTGATCAAATTGATCAATTTTTTTTAAATTGTTCGTTTTTTTACGTACTTTTAAAAAAAATGTATTAAAAAAAGATAAAATCGAAATTTTATCCAAAAACATAAGAGCCTAAATTTTTTCCAATTTTGGAAGGCAAAAAAGCTATCGAAATTTTTATTTTCTTCTTCCACGACATTTTTTATTATAAATGCGCCGTAAAAACAAACAGAATAAAAAAAAATTTGAAAATGTTAATTTTTGACCTAGTTATGGTCCAAAATAGAGTTGACCTCACTTCTAAATAATTATCAAATATTTTTTGGTAAAAATGAAATTTTCTAAAATTTTTTATTTCTTCTTTAGTGTCATATAAATATTTGGTAATTATTTACAAGGGGGGTCAATCCATGTTAATTTCTTTTTTTGATCAAATTGATCAATTTTTTTTTTAAATTGCTCATTTTTTTATGTACTTTTCAAAAAAAGATAAAATAGAAATTTTTATCCAAAAACATAAAAGCCAATTTTTTTTTCCAACTTTTAAAGACAAAAAAAGCTATCAAAATCTTTATTTTTTCCTTTAACAAGTGGATTAAAAAAAAATTTTTAAAATGTTAATTTTTCACCTAATTTATTACCACTTATAAATAATAACCAAATATTTTTTTGGTAAAAATAAAATTTTCTAAAATTATTTATTTCTTCTTTCGTGTAATATAAATATTTTTGATAAAAAAATTGAAAGATTGTCTTGTTTTTCTTTAACAATATAAAAAAAAAGGATAAATATTAAAAATTGAATAAATAAATTAAAAAATATTTGTATTAAAATTTTATTTTCAGCTGGCGCATGGGGAATATCAGTGTTACTCTGGCCACCTTGGATCTACGCGTGGCCTTATATCGAGGGCAAGAGAACAGTACCAGAGACAATGTGTTATATTCAGTTCATCGAGACAAATCATTACATCACCTTTGGCACGGCTATTGCCGCATTTTACGTGCCCGTCAGCGTAATGATATTTCTGTACTGGCGGATATGGCGCGAAACGGAGAAGAGGAAAAAGGACCTGACGAATCTGCAAGAGGGAAAGCAGGATGCCAGCAAACGCAGCAACTCCAGTGACGAGGCGTTAGACATGGACGGATACAGACGCGGTCGCAGTGAATCCAGCACTGGTGCTCATGAAATCGGCCACGCTAATCTCACCATGTCTTATCTCGAGAAGCATTATCCTGACTACAAAAATGTACGGACTTAACAATTAAATTAAATTAATTATTAAATTGAACCGCATGAAAAATTTCTTGCTTTAATCAAAATTAATCCTTTTCTCCCAGAAGCATCGACCATTTTCGTGGACGTCTCTGAAGATGTGGTGTGTTGCGTGGTGGCACAGCGGTCGCGACGACGATGACGACGACGATGAGGTCGGTGGGACAGACGTCAGCAGCAGGACTGTGCATCCCGGGTGCGAGGACACCTTGACCCCGGTCTCTGCTGAAACTCCGTTCACCGACGGGCAAACTCTTGATGGAATGTCCGCGAGCACGCAGTTGACCAACGAGCATCAAGATTACCGAAGATCACAGACATCTAGTCAACTTAGTAAAGATGTTTCTGGGGATAAAGTGAGTCATTAATTATTTTTGTTTTTTTTTCTTCTTATTTTTTTTTTTAAGTTAATATACTGCAAGTAGAAATAGATCACCTCAAACTATCACCAACAAGTAAAAAAGATATTTTTCATTAGAAACAAAACGATTAATCACTACAAAATTACTGGGGTAAATTAAATTTAAGTGAAAAATAATATTTTTACTTTAATTATAAATTGTCGCTAATTAATTATAATATCAATGGCTGATGTCGAAAATAATTATTATTATTTACTGCTCGGAAGTTAATAATTAAATTGTACTGCGATTCAATTATATTAATATTTTTTTGTTAATTTATATGAAATTACATTTTACTTTTGATAAATTATTTTTCAAGGTTCTTGAGTGGCTCCAACTTGTTCAGATTGTTAATACTGATTAATTGTTTTGTTTTTGACAGTTTGAAAGACAAAGCTAAAATGTTCATTTCAATTTCAAATGAAAAATTATTAATTATAATGATAATATAAAAAAATACTTTATTATTGTTTCAAATTTTTATTTTTATTATTAAAAATAATAAACTAATATTTAGTTATTTTGAATTTTGTTTGCATTAAGTTTGGAAAATAATTATCAAAAAATCATAATTAAAAATAAGTAAAAAAATTTTGAGGTGGTAAATTTACAAATTATTTACTCTGATAGAAGGATTTATTAACTATTAATAAATTAATCTATTTGAAAACAATTATTTATTTTGAAAATGCTCTATCTCTAAATACATAATTATGAAAAGACCTTGTATCTCGTGAACTATTGACATTTTTAAAGATATAAGCTCATCCCGATGTTACACTCATCAAAACCTTTCATTTGAGTACCCACATCAATTTTTCATATATTTTATATATTTATGTATATTATATATATGTATATATGAAAAATTGATGTGGGTACTCAAATGAAAGCTCTTGATGAGTAACAAATTCATTCTCTCCAGGCTTAACATCGCGCCCAAATCCAGCATAGTCGACTTCCAGCTGAGAGTTCTTGTGATCCAGCTTGCCATAAATAATGTCCGCTTAGACAGCTTCAATAATAAGATCCTCGAGCTCTCTAACATTATCAATCCCGAGTTCCGTAAGCAGAACCGAGTATGGAATACATTTGGACTTTTCAGCCAATGTAACGATGGTCAAGTGCTGGAGCTTCTTCTTCTGGGTCGGAGTAAGCTCCAACAAATTGTCCTTGTTCTCCAGGTACTCTTTGTAAGTTCGATACGCGAACAAATTCAAAGTGTTCCAGTACGCGCTGTGTGGCCCGTTCTTCAGCTCTATTATGTTCGGCATGTCCAGCAACACTCTCCGAAGACATTCACTCCTGGAGCCTCGATCGCCTGCTACGCCTTTTGCTGATTTTGCCAGAAGGACGAATTGCTCCAGTGGATTGTTTGAAGACTTCAGTCGAGACCAGTGGTTCGTCGGTCATGGTACTGCTTCCAGTCATTTTTCAGCTGAAATTTTTTATTAAAAATAAATAAATTATGCTTTATTAAATAATGACTCTTGTTAAATTGCAGAGTATTTTTTTAAATAATGACTTTTTTAAAGATATATATAAGCTCATCTTGATGTTACACTCGTCAAGAGCTTTCATTTGAGTACCCAGCACAAGATGAAAATTAAGTTAGCTGACATTTAAATTATTTGTTTTCATTTCAAATCCACTAACTTCACGCTCTAATTCTAAAATAATCTAAAATATATCGATCTATCATTTTGATATTAGTAACAACAATTTCGATTACTAAACTGAATTCACTTTTGTATTTTACTTTATATGATCCGATTACCAAGTATCATTTGAAATCTGTTAAAATTGGCAATAAATTGATAAATTGACAGTGGGATTATTCAGTTGTTGTTGGGATTAGATCAGGGAGTAACGCTTCCTGTTCGAAAAGAATTTAATTATTATTTTATTCATCGTCATTATTTTATATAATTATATTACAGTCATAAATTTATGTGTTGCTCTAATATCGAATAAACACACAACAAACATGATAAAAAAAAGTACAACAGGGTAACATTATTAATATGTATTCATCATCACCTATAAAAATCAGTATCCATTCTATAGTTGATTCGTCGTTTGTCGTTGGTCCTTCGTATACCTTCGCTCTTACACTCGTGCTAAAATGTGAATACTCGGGAATTTCCGGACACTTACTATTCGTCTTCGTAATAACGTATAGTAATAACATGACGAGGAGGCGAGCAGGGTGAGCGAGGCCAACCGGTCGGCTGCCGCCGTGAACCACCGTCACTGCGCGACAACCGACAAGCGACACCAACCGACCAGTTTAATTCTGTACGCCGAGACAGCAATTGTACACTTTTAGTATAGGATGTCATATATACTATATAATAACATTTATACATCTACTACTATATTTATTTATTTATTTATTATTGTAGTCATGTTTTTTTATTGATTATTGTGTTTTCGTCAATTACTCATCAACATCAACACTACTATCAGTAATTTATTTGTTTTATTTTCTTTTTAATTTTTAATTTGTGTTTATAGGCTGTAGTTGAACAGTTAGTGTTTCTTTTATTTTTACACACAAGAATCTGACCGCCTGAAGGCAAAAAATACCTATCTTATTCAGTGGTAATGGACAATACAATAAAACATCTGTTAATTACACAACAAATAAAGATACAACAATAGTTCATTTCCAAGTAATATTACATGTGGAGTGTATTTCTGGATTAATCAACAAAATTACTTATTAGAGTAACAGGTGGTTGCCATTTTGATATCATTATTATTATTATTATTATCATCATTATTATTTGTAAGATGAAATGATAATAAACATTATATTTATATATGTATCTGAGTTAAATCAGTTGAAAGATAAAGGATTATAGTAAGATTTAACGATAATCTTACTACATATAATTATTATTTATTTCTTTTCTCCGCTCCAAGTGTCGATTTCGTTTTCACCAACTGAATTCTTAGAAAAAGCCAGTTAAAAGAATAAGAAGAGTAAAAATTTAATTTTAAGTATTCGTATCAATACATTAATGGAATGAGTTATAGAGTGATTTTTGATACAAATGGTAATTATTGGCGATTGTGAGAAACATGAGGATTACTGTGTGTCATCGTGTTGTGCTAGGAGCAACAGCAGCACTAGCAACAAATATGTATCAGAAAAAGCATCAACTGAAGATGAAGATCAAATATATGGAAGAGTAGGAGCTAGAATTCCTGATATTTTAATTTTTATATCAATGTTAGTGTTTGTGTTGGTGTTAATGGTGGAGTTCTAGTGGAATAATTTGCTAAATTGGAGTGGTAAAAGATGAGTTTTAATTAAATAAAAAAAAATATTAAACAACCTTAACCTGCACCAAATTAAGCTTCAAGGAGTTAATTTCAAATAAATAAATACATATATTGTATATGTCAAGTGTTTATTGAAAATCAAATTTGTTATTTTTTATTTTTTCATTTGATAATATCAAATATATAATTATTACTGTGTAAAAGCCGTTTTAGTGGTTGTTGTGAATGTTTTTGTTCTTATCGTTAATAGTGTTAGTATTTATTAGTACGATTACTACAATTTTTTGAAAATTGTCTTAATGATGACAATGTTTGGTACTCTTGTACAGAGGTTGACCTCTCCGGTTACCTCGCCTACAAGCTCACGTCGCAGATTAAAGTCACCCTCTCGGTGGGAGATACAAAGTGATCCTGAAGATGATTGTACAAGTGTACCAACTATTAGAAAATCTCGCGCCAAACATTTGTTGGACAAACGTAAAAGTAAAAGTCGTGCCCGTGGTTTAAATGTTGGTGAACCTATGATATGTACCAATACACAGAATGTTGCTGGCTGGTGTGATGTTAATTCGATTGCTGGGGGATTCCCATTAAGAGGAACCAAAAGCTTAGGTCGACTGGATGGCTTCAAAGAAGTAAGTCATTATTCACAATTATTTTTATTATTACAATTATTATTATATTTATAGATATCAACTTGTGACAACATTTAAATATCGGTAATTTATTTTTTTATTAATTTGATAATAACAGAATAATTATGATGGGACAGGAGTTATATGCCAGCCATCTTTTAAGCTTGATTCGACGTATAGTATCCCAACCCAAACCAGACCAGCCCAGCCTGATCTGAGAAGGGATCGGATCATTGTCCGCATCGGCTCAAATTGCAACGGATCTTCCTCAGTTTATCTCCTTCAAACTCGTTTGGCACAACTCTTCTTAACTCTTTTAATGTTCTCAAGAACATACATTTTTCCGATGAATAATTTAGCCCCTGACTCAAATCTGTCGAATTCATCAATACTAATCATTTCTAATAAATTTCAAAAATTAACGACAAACGTACATATACAAATTCCTCATTTTTACTGTTTTACTTTGTTTCATTTTTTTTTTTTTTTCATTTTTACTATACGACGGAATAATTTTATCTGGCTATTTAAAATTTTAACTGCAATATGTATGTCTTGTACGAAGATGATGGAGTTTCATATTCTAGCGTCACGCTACCCAATAATTGTCGATTAAATGCTATATATATATATATATATAT